AGTAAGGACAGATGATTTATGTAGCATTTACTTCCTGGAATCCTTCTGCCATTAGCTCAGGCAAGTGGGCAGGTGGGTGTGCCTAGCTAAGAAAACCCCTCCTGCAGACTCCTGGGATGGGGTGGATAAAGTTGTACTTCACATGTAGGGTAGCCGATTCATTTCAATGGGCTGCTCTGTGTGCTAGAAATGAGGAAATAAAGTCCCTTTTTCAAAATCACACCAAGCCACAGCACTGTTAATTTTGGTGCAGGTGGAAACGCGCACATCAGCAGATGTGTGAGGGTGTCATTAACAATCAATGACACCGTTGTGTATCTGCTAAAGGGCAGCACATTTCTGTGGTGTCAAGAAAGTGATTTTGCATGCATTTCCAATACACACAAATGTGAACATAGGCTACATGTCTCAATTATATTGGTAGTCAGTGTATATCTTCTCATTACATTGGGGCTTCGTGTAGAATCCTTTCATTCACACTAGTGGTCAGTGTGAAAGTTCCCCTTACATTGGTGGTCAGTGTAAATCCCTCATTACATAGGTGGTCACTGTAGAAATTCCTCTTTATATTGGTAGTCAGTAAAAAATCCTAACTTGCATTTGTGGTCAGTGTTGAATCCTCCTTTACATTGATGGTCCATGTAGAAAGACCCCCTTAAATAGGTGGTCAGTGTAAGTTCCCCCTTACATTGGTGGTCAGTGTGAATGGGCCAATTATATTAGTGGCAAGTGTAAATCCCCATTACTTTGGTGGCCACTGTAGAAAATCCTCTTTATATTGGTAGTCAGTAAAAAAATCTTAATTTGCATTTTTGGTCAGTGTCGAATCTTCCTTTACATTGGTGGTCCATGTAGAAGCCACTCTTAAATTGGTGGTCAGTGTAAATTCCTCCTTACACATTGGTGGCCAGTGTAGAAATGTATTTGTTGTTGGTGTAAAGACCCCCATTACATTGGTTGTCAGTGTAAATGTTTCATTACATTGGTTGTCATTGCATATTCCCTATTAGATTGGTGGCCAGTGTAAATTTCCTTTACATTGTTTTTAAGTGCAGAATTGCCCATTACACTGGTGGTTGGTGTAAAACCCCTCTTACATTGGTGGTCAATGTAGAAATGTCACCTCCCATCCCCATCCAGTACTGCCACTGATCCCATCCACTCCAAGCACTGCCGGACCCCCAGGCGAAGCGACAGGTCTCGGGCCCCCAGGCGGAGCGACAGGCACCGAGTCACCAGGCACGACAGTGGGCTCCGAGTCAACTGGCATGACCGCTGGCACTGGGTCAGACAATGGATCGTCTGGCTGGACAGCGGGCATCGGGTCACCAGGCATCAGGTCATTTGGCTCGACAGCGGGCACCGCGTCATCTGGCAAAGCAGTGGGCTCAGAGTCAACTGGCATGACCGCGGGCACTGGGTCAGACATTGGATCGTCTGGCTGGACAGCGGGCATCGGGTCACCAGGCATCAGGTCATTTGGCTCAACAGCGGGCACCGTGTCATCTGGCAAGACAGTGGGCACCAAGTCACCAGGCACGACAGTGGGCTCTGAGTCAATTGGCACGACAGCGGGCACCGGGTCATCAGGTACCGGATTGTCTGGCTCGACAGTGGGCATCGGTCACCAGGTATGACAGCGGGCACTGGGTCACCAGGCATCAGGTCATTTGGCTTGCCAGCGGGCACCGCGTCATCTGGCAAGGCAGTGGGCACCGGGTCACCAGGCATTGGATCGTCTGGATCGACAGCGGGCATCGGGTCAACTGGCCTAATAGGATCATCAGGCTGGATCAGTTCATCAGGCTGGGTAGAAACATCATGCTGGGTAGAGGCATCAGGCTGAGTAGAGGCATCAGGCTGAGTAGAGGCATCAGGCTGGGTACAGGCATCAGCTGGGTACAGGCATCAGGCCAGGTACAGACCTCAGGCTGAAGTGCGGGTGCCGAGGCACCAGGCTGAACCACGGAAGGCCGGTTCTCAGACGGCAGGCTGACCGGTTTGGATACTGGCAGGATGGTACTGGTTGGAAAGAATTTTCGCTTTTTTCTGGTTTTAACTACTGGGGCACTGCAAGTAAATGCAGGTCTGCAAACGAATGGAGCAGCTGGAGACAGAGAAGAGCTGGAGGATGGAACAGGGGGAGTGAACATTTGCTACAGAGGACTTCTTTACAGGGTTAAAGGCAGGATAGGTGCAGCGAGTGGGAACAGGGTACTGACATGCGGTAGATAGCAGGGCAGGAGGAGCTGTTGGGAATGCAGGAATAGAGCTTTGAGGAAATAGATTAGAAGCAGGACTGGGTTTTTGCAAGCTGACTGAGGCTGGGTGCAACAAATCTGACCATGTCTGCAGTATGGGTTAAACAAAGCTGAGCTTACACAAAGCCTGTCTGGTCAAAGACAGCACTGCGTTTATACAATCTCTTAGTACCTGTGGTGAACATGCAGAATAACGCTCCAGAAAGTAATCCACATCATCCTCTAATAACCATACCAGGGACTCTACCTGGTCTGCACTAAATGGCGGCAAAAATTCATCCCTGCATTCGGGGGTACCAGATGAAACCAACTCCGCACAAACCTGAATCAATGGCTGCACCTCAGAGAATTCTGTGCCCTGATCTACTAGAACATGAGCGATCAGTATACAATCTAGCAGTTCATCCCGGGTATACTCCTTCAGAGTTTGATAAGCATATTCTCTGTCATCAAACACTAGCAGATATAAATACACAACCTCATCAAGATCAATCCTTTCCATCAACAAACCAAGATGGTTTCCCTGTGCAGCCACTTCTGGTCAGGATTGGCCTTGGTGTAATGTCAGGGCTCCAGGGTGTGACCAGAGGTATGTGACTGACGCAGGGAAACGCAGGCTTCAGATAAGTTATAAACAATATCATTTATTAAAGACTAACAACACAAACATAAACGCAGTGCAATACTAAAACATAACACAGTGCAAACGAACCAAACCAAACCACCCACAGATAACAGTACATACAATGCAAGCGTCGTCAGGCAGGCCGGATAATAAACAGGGGGTCAGAACGTATGGGGTAAAGCAGGAGAATGGTCAGACAAAGCCAGGGATCAGAGCAGGAGAATGGTCAGACAAAGCCAGGGATCAGAGCAGGAGAATGGTCAGACAAAGCCAGGGATCAGAGCAGGAGAATGGTCAGACAAAGCCAGGGATCAGAGCAGGTGAATGGTCAGACAAAGCCAGGGATCAGAGCAGGGTCAGCAACGAATCAGACAGGAACAGGAACAGGGTTGCAGGAACAGGATACAGGGCCCAGGAGAAACACACACCAAGGCCCAGTCTGCAGGTCTGGCCATCCCTTAAATACACCAGCATAAGCAGTTTCAGGTGTTTGGCTGGCTGCAAGTTGAGTCTCTGATTGCTGGGAGCACCCGCTGGCCAGCCCTGGTACTGCAGCCCATAAGGCAGGTGAGTCCCACCATTGCTGGCCAGTCAATTCCTGACACCCCCCTTTGTGCTCCCACCCCCCTGTGTGCTGCTAGCTTCCCTCCTCTCCTTCCTACCAGCAGCTGCAAACACAAAATAGGATCCTACAGGATGGAGAGTTGTTGAAGGGTCTGGTAAAAATGTCACAATTCACCTAGCCCCTTTATTTCCTGGATGAACACAGTGAGTGATTGGTGGTACAAATCACTCACTGTGTTCATTCATAATTGAAGCATAATAAACTCTTTTTGTTATGGGGGGGGGCTGTCAGGTTGGCTGTATGGGGCTGCGTGGTTTCTAACAGCAGCCCTGCCTGTAGAAGCAGCAATATTTAAGCCAGTGTGCATGGAATCTTAGGCTCCATGCACATTAGCATTTCATATAATAATATTGAAGTATAGTAGTGTGTAGTATTTTTCACATATTTACATATTGGAGGATGCTTTACAGGACTTATTCCTTATCGGTATGTATCTGACTCATGTTCTACTTAACTTACAATGGAGATCTGCATCCTCTGTCAAGATATAGATAAATTGTATCACATCTATTATCTCTCCTCTCTACAGTAAATTTTCAGATCTTCAACCCTTCAAACCAATATTACATTGATGGTCCATGTAGAAGACCCCCTTAAATCGGTGGTCAGTGTAAGTTCCCCCTTACATTGGTGGTCAGTGTGAATGGGCCAATTATATTAGTGGCAAGTGTAAATCCCCATTACTTTGGTGGCCACTGTAGAAAATCCTCTTTATATTGGTAGTCAGTAAAAAAATCTTAATTTGCATTTTTGGTCAGTGTCGAATCTTCCTTTACATTGGTGGTCCATGTAGAAGCCACTCTTAAATTGGTGGTCAGTGTAAATTCCTCCTTACATTGGTGGCCAGTGTAGAAATGTATTTGTTGTTGGTGTAAAGACCCCCATTACATTGGTTGTCAGTGTAAATGTTTCATTACATTGGTTGTCATTGCATATTCCCTATTAGATTGGTGGCCAGTGTAAATTTCCTTTACATTGTTTTTAAGTGCAGAATTGCCATTACACTGGTGGTTGGTGTAAAACCCCTCTTACATTGGTGGTCAATGTAGAAATGTCACCTCCCATCCCCATCCAGTACTGCCACTGATCCCATCCACTCCAAGCACTGCCGGACCCCCTGGCGAAGCGACAGGTCTCGGGCCCCCAGGCGGAGCGGCGGGCGCCGGACCCCCAGGCGGAGCGACAGGTCTCGGGCCCCCAGGCGGAGCGGCGGGCGCCGGACCCCCAGGCGGAGCGACAGGCACCGAGTCACCAGGCACGACAGTGGGCTCCGAGTCAACTGGCATGACCGCTGGCACTGGGTCAGACAATGGATCATCTGGCTGGACAGCGGGCACAGCGGGCGGGTCACCAGGCATCAGGTCATTTGGCTCGACAGCGGGCAGCGGGCACCGCGTCATCTGGCAAGACAGTGGGCACCAAGTCACCAGGCACGACAGTGGGCTCTGAGTCAATTGGCACGACAGCGGGCACCGGGTCATCAGGTACCGGATTGTCTGGCTCGAAAGTGGGCATCGGGTCACCAGGTATGACAGCGGGCAATGGGTCACCAGGCATCAGGTCATTTGGCTTGCCAGCGGGCACCGCGTCATCTGGCAAGGCAGTGGGCACTGGGTCACCAGGCATTGGATCGTCTGGCTCGACAGCGGGCATCGGGTCAACTGGCCTAATAGGATCATCAGGCTGGATCAGTTCATCAGGCTGGGTAGAAACATCATGCTGGGTAGAGGCATCAGGCTGAGTAGAGGCATCAGGCTGAATAGAGGCATCAGGCTGGGTACAGGCATCAGGCTGGGTACAGGCATCAGGCTGGGTACAGGCATACAGGCATCCAGGTACAGACCTCAGGCTGAAGTGCGGGTGCCGAGGCACCAGGCTGAACCACGGAAGGCCGGTTCTCAGACGGCAGGCTGACCGGTTTGGATACTGGCAGGATGGTACTGGTTGGAAAGAATTTTCGCTTTTTTCTGGTTTTAACTACTGGGGCACTGCAAGTAAATGCAGGTCTGCAAACGAATGGAGCAGCTGGAGACAGAGAAGAGCTGGAGGATGGAACAGGGGAGTGAACAGTTGCTACAGAGGACTTCTTTACAGGGTTAAAGGCAGGATAGGTGCAGCGAGTGGGAACAGGGTACTGACATGCGGTAGATAGCAGGGCAGGAGGAGCTGTTGGGAATGCAGGAATAGAGCTTTGAGGAAATAGATTAGAAGCAGGACTGGGTTTTTGCAAGCTGACTGAGGCTGGGTGCAACAAATCTGACCATGTCTGCAGTATGGGTTGAACAAAGCTGAGCTTACACAAAGCCTGTCTGGTCAAAGACTGCACTGCGTTTATACAATCTCTTAGTATCTGTGGTGAACATGCAGCATAATGCTCCAAGAAGCAATCCACATCATCCTCTAATAACCATACCAGGGACTCTACCTGGTCTGCACTAAATGGCGGCAAAAATTCATCCCTGCATTCGGGGGTACCAGATGAAACCAACTCCACACAAACCTGAATCAATGGCTGCACCTCAGAGAATTCTGTGCCCTGATCTACTAGAACATGAGCGATCCGTATACATTCTAGCAGTTCATCCCGGGGATACTCCTTCAGAGTTTGATAAGCATATTCTCTGTCATCAAACACTAGCAGATATAAATACACAACCTCATCAAGATCCATCCTTCCCAGCAACAAACCAAGATGGTTTCCCTGTGCAGCCACTTCTGGTCAGGATTGGCCTTGGTGTAATGTCAGGGCTCCAGGGTGTGACCAGAGGTATGTGACTGACGCAGGGAAACGCAGGCTTCAGATAAGTTATAAACAATATCATTTATTAAAGACTAACAACACAAACATAAACGCAGTGCAATACTAAAACATAACACAGTGCAAACGAACCAAACCAAACCACCCACAGATAACAGTACATACAATGCAAGCGTCGTCATGCAGGCCGGATCATAAACAGGGGGTCAGAACGTATGGGGTAAAGCAGGAGAATGGTCAGACAAAGCCAGGGATCAGAGCAGGAGAATGGTCAGACAAAGCCAGGGATCAGAGCAGGAGAATGGTCAGACAAAGCCAGGGATCAGAGCAGGAGAATGGTCAGACAAAGCCAGGGATCAGAGCAGGTGAATGGTCAGACAAAGCCAGGGATCAGAGCAGGGTCAGCAACGAATCAGACAGGAACAGGAACAGGGTTGCAGGAACAGGATACAGGGCCCAGGAGAAACACACACCAAGGCCCAGTCTGCAGGTCTGGCCATCCCTTAAATACACCAGCATAAGCAGTTTCAGGTGTTTGGCTGGCTGCAAGTTGAGTCTCTGATTGCTGGGAGCACCCGCTGGCCAGCCCTGGGTACTGCAGCCCATAAGGCAGGTGAGTCCCTCCATTGCTGGCCAGTCCATTCCTGACACCCCCCTTTGTGCTCCCACCCCCCTGTGTGCTGCTAGCTTCCCTCCTCTCCTTCCTACCAGCAGCTGCAAACACAAAATAGGATCCTACAGGATGGAGAGTTGTTGAAGGGTCTGGTAAAAATGTCACAATTCACCTAGCCCCTTTATTTCCTGGATGAACACAATGAGTGATTGGTACAAATCACTCACTGTGTTCATTCATAATTGAAGCATAATAAACTCTTTTTGTTATGGGGGGGGGGCTGTCAGGTTGGCTGTATGGGGCTGCGTGGTTTCTAACAGCAGCCCTGCCTGTAGAAGCAGCAATATTTAAGCCAGTGTGCATGGAATCTTAGTCTCCATGCACATTAGCATTTCATATAATAATATTGAAGTATAGTAGTGTAGTATTTTTCACATATTTACATATTGGAGGATGCTTTACAGGACTTATTCCTTATCGGTATGTATCTGACTCATGTTCTACTTAACTTACTATGGAGATCTGCATCCTCTGTCAAGATATAGATAAATTGTATCACATCTATTATCTCTCCTCTCTACAGTAAATTTTCAGATCTTCAACCCTTCAAACCAATATTAGTGCGCTAAATCAAAATACATTTTCCCTAAATCCAACATCATATGGAATTTGTGGTGTACATAGAGCAGTACACATGACTGCAACTAACATTCACTGCTCATTCCACACAAACGGAAGTAAGGGGGAAAGGAGAAGTTCAGGAGCTCATGGAGGATATTACAAAGAGGTAGAAAGTCCATGGATTATATCAGACTAAAAATGGCTTCCTGAATTTAGAAATCCTGTAACTGATTTTATCTCAGCAGAAGAATTGACAGTTCTGTATATATTAAGGTATCTCAAAATACAATGTTATGATCCACCATCAATAATAATAATAACTCCTAATGCATACATTTTGTAATAACGCAATCATTTTTACAAAATATTTTCTTTTTTGGTTAGATAAATATAAAAATTAAATTAGAATTTTTAGTCAGCAGGTGGAGCTCTTTCTTTTCACGTGTTTCTTATTTACATTTGCTTTGTCGAAAAAAGCCTGTTGCCTACAGAGCTTAGTACCTTAAAGTGGAACACAAAATAAAACTGCACTTTAATTAATTTTTAATATTCAAAACAAACTCTCCCATCCACTCATGCTTCCATTCTTTTTATAAAATACCCCCTAGCATCTCTGGCTGTGGACATATTGAGTAAGGACAGATGATTTATGTAGCATTTACTTCCTGGAATCCTTCTGCCATTAGCTCAGGCAAGTGGGCAGGTGGGTGTGCCTAGCTAAGAAAACCCCTCCTGCAGACTCCTGGGATGGGGTGGATAAAGTTGCACTTCACATGTAGGGTAGCCGATTCATTTCAATGGGCTGCTCTGTGTGCTAGAAATGAGGAAATAAAGTCCCTTTTTCAAAATCACACCAAGCCACAGCACTGTTAATTTTGGTGCAGGTGGAAACGCGCACATCAGCAGATGTGTGAGGGTGTCATTAACAATCAATGACACCGTTGTGTATCTGCTAAAGGGCAGCACATTTCTGTGGTGTCAAGAAAGTGATTTTGCATGCATTTCCAATACACACAAATGTGAACATAGGCTACATGTCTCAATTATATTGGTAGTCAGTGTATATCTTCTCATTACATTGGGGCTTCGTGTAGAATCCTTTCATTCACACTAGTGGTCAGTGTGAAAGTTCTCCTTACATTGGTGGTCAGTGTAAATCCCTCATTACATAGGAGGTCACTGTAGAAATTCCTCTTTATATTGGTAGTCAGTAAAAAATCCTAACTTGCATTTGTGGTCAGTGTTGAATCCTCCTTTACATTGATGGTCCATGTAGAAGACCCCCTTAAATCGGTGGTCAGTGTAAGTTCCCCCTTACATTGGTGGTCAGTGTGAATGGGCCAATTATATTAGTGGCAAGTGTAAATCCCCATTACTTTGGTGGCCACTGTAGAAAATCCTCTTTATATTGGTAGTCAGTAAAAAAATCTTAATTTGCATTTTTGGTCAGTGTCAAATCTTCCTTCACATTGGTGGTCCATGTAGAAGCCACTCTTAAATTGGTGGTCAGTGTAAATTCCTCCTTACATTGGTGGCCAGTGTAGAAATGTATTTGTTGTTGGTGTAAAGACCCCCATTACATTGGTTGTCAGTGTAAATGTTTCATTACATTGGTTGTCATTGCATATTCCCTATTAGATTGGTGGCCAGTGTAAATTTCCTTTACATTGTTTTTAAGTGCAGAATTGCCATTACACTGGTGGTTGGTGTAAAACCCCTCTTACATTGGTGGTCAATGTAGAAATGTCACCTCCCATCCCCATCCAGTACTGCCACTGATCCCATCCACTCCAAGCACTGCCACTTATCCCATCCCCCCTACCACTACCACTAATCCCATCAACCCCCCAGCACTGCCACAGATTCCAGGAGTCCTAGATATCCTAGGAGTTTTCTGTCTATTAGTGGGTCCCCTCACCTTCATAGTCCTTGGTGTGCAGGTAGTGAGGAGATGATGTATTGTAACCTTCAGCAACCAATCAGTGAGCTGTAATGATGTGCTGTAAACTCTAGCAGCCAATCAGTGACCAGTAATGATGTGCAGTAACCTCTAGCAACCAATCGGTGAGCAGTAATGATGTGCAGTAATCTCTAGCAACCAATCAGCAAGCAGAAATCATGTGCTGTAACCTCTAGCAACTAATCAGTGAGCTGTAATGTGTGTTGAAACAATTGCAATCATTGCCTGATCTGCTAAATAAACTGATTTTGAGTCTAGCTGCTGTTTATTGTATGTGTCAGAGCAGATGGATAGCAAAATTGCATGGGGGGCCCCAAAAAATGTTTTCCCAGGGTCCAATCAATATTAAACAAGACCCTGCTTCTCCTGAATGCAGAAGAATCATGTTCAGGAGAGGAAAGTTTTTACCAAAAAAATGCCAAATGTGATAAAAAAAAACGTGCATAAACACACCTAAGCGCTACCTATGTTTAGTGATTGGGATTTTATTCATTTCAGTGGTGTTTTTACTGCCTTTAGCATTTTTACGCAGCCAGTAGAATAAACGTTCCAGTGTACATGTAGTCCAAGAAACAACTGCATGAAAAATGGTTACAGGGCCATTATTCCCTTGGCGCCGGCTTTTCCTAGCCCATTAAGGGGCTTCTGTTGCTAGGAGGGTTTAGGGTCATGCAACCTCCGTGATTGGTTATCACAGCGGTCACATGATCGTAGTAGCATTTGGGACCTTTCCATGAGGCGCCGGTAAATGTGCCGGGAGCGCACAGGGTGCACACTCTCGTCACATCTGTTGTTTACAATGGGTACGCAAATATGCGGCCCCTCTGTGCCAAGGGCCAGCCGCCGAGAGGCCGCATATTTGCGTGCGCTCGGTGCCAGACAGTTAAGTAGTGGAGGTGTGCAGATTAT